ACCCCACCCCCACCCTCTCTCTCACACTAATTCCAGGGGTGAAAAGAGGCTGGGAGAGGCACTTTCCTTCTCTTAGCATATCACAGTTCAGGGGGCATGTGGGGCTTTCCTGAGCCCAGCTCACTACAATGAATCTTCAGTGCTGCCTGCTTTGACCAGATGCCTCAGTCTCCTGGCCAGGCTGGATATTCCTGATGCTCACCAAGGCTGTTGGCTGAGAGGGGAAACTTGAGCAAAAATAGCCCTCTGCTCTGTCCCTGATTGGAGCAGGTGGCACACGGCAGCATGCAGGGGAGAGAGTGGGCTTGGAAAGGGTTTGGAAGGGTTGGATTGGCAGTTGCTGGGTGTATGTGTGTGGCTCAGATGAGCTCTTATTAAAACCTCTGGGCTGCATGGCTGTTTCCAGCGAGGAGAAGTCTGGCTCAGCACTGAGGGAAGGGAGGAAGAGGCAGGGATGTGGAGCATGAGGGGCAAATAGGAACTTTTATGGGAGCAAGGGATGGCAGAAAGTCTGGCAGGAAAAATGTGAGGCACTGTAGTCACCTTTTGCTTGGTGGTGAGAGGAACCCACAAGGATGAAGGTGATAAGAGGGGGAAAAGAGGGAGAGAGAGAGAGGAGGGATCAGCTCTGCCACACACTGCCCATGTGGTGCTGGGCTGATTTAGAGGTGGTAGAGGGGTGATGCAGAATCCACACAGAACAGGTGTGTGCAGGAGGACCACTGCATCCTGCGATACTGGAGGACTTCAACTTGGGTGACACATCTGTTGGGAATGGCTACACATTAACATGTGGATCAGAGAGAATCCTGTCCTGGAGTGATGTAACTTTGACCTGCATAAGAGAGCTTTAAGCCGTTTAAAAGTGATAATGCACAAACAATCCAGGGGTTAAGAGCTCCAGGAGCTGCTTAAAAGTAACATGTGACAAGGCCCTCAGAGTGAGGGAGATGAACTTCTGGTAATTTCTCCCCCCACCCTCCCCCTTTCCAAAAGATAAGGATAGAAGTACTTTGTGATATAAGTGTTAGACAGAGGAGATACAGAGAGATCTTTATTCAGTTTCTCAATTAGAATGGAGACGAACAAACCCTTAAGTTTTGCTCTGATTAGTAGACTGTACTGCCTCTTGGATACCACACTACTGTCCAGTGACATTTTTTTCCCTTTTTGCAGGCTGGCTTTATTCCTTTGGTAATCCAGGAAGAAACAAGTTTTGGTAAAAAATGGGTAAGTATAAACAATAGGAAGACTCATTGTAAAAATGACATACATTCTGAAGTTACCAAAGGAGGATATTCTTGCTTAGTCAGCCACAGGAAATATTAGGAATCTCACTGGAGAGAGCCTGCTGTCTTGCAAGAGTCTTTCTGGGTGCATCAACACAAGACGCTGACTGCATAGTAGCTGAAAAATGCTGTGCAGTAGCACATCACAGCCAGGATACTGCTAAAACACTACCATGCAGTATTATTAGACTTTGTTCAGTAGTGTCACCTAAAAGACATTCGCCAGCACTACTGTGCAGTAACTCTTGTTATTGTGCATTTATTTAGTGCTTGCTAATACAAGTACTAAATAAATGCATAGTAATGACTGCACAGTAACATCTCATGTAGATGCACCAGATGTGTCAGATAAGGGTCAGATAAGCTGTGGATGAAAGCTTCTGTATTCTTTTCCATCCCACTTCTTTTGGATTGTTGTCTGAAGCACACTGAATGATTGTAAGTGAATAAGAGAGAGTCAAGGTTGGACAAACCCAGAAATCTAGTGCATTATGAAAACTTCAGACCATGAAAAATGGGAGTTATGAAACCTGATGGTATCAAGCTAATGTAGGGGGCTGTGCTAACACGGGAGCAAAGAGTCAGAAAGAGTGAATTCATGCCCAAGAGAGAAGATCCACATCTTGTAGTAGTGTCCCTTTCATTTAAGTAGCCCTGATAAAAAAGTTCTATTAAATGTAATATAAAAGATGCCTCAGGCTCTACAGAAATTACTCAAAAATCCTACAGATCTTATAAGGAATAAAAGTCTAAAGAAAGACTTTTTGCACAATCTACAGAATTTCACAACTGCAATATAATGTTATATGATCTCACACAAAAACTGTTGAAAGGGATAAGGGGACAAACAGAGCCCGCAAAATTAGATATTAGGTGTTAATGAGAATTCAATGGTCCTGAAAAGAGAAAAGGTACACTGCAGTGAGGGAGGAAGGGAACAAGGGTATGCACGTACAGTCCCTTCCATGTGGAAGGAAAAGGGAGGACCTTGGCATAGGGGAAGAAAAGGCCATGCAGAGACTGCATGCGAAAAGGAGGTGAACACAGACTCTGCTATGGGGAATGGCAGGAATGGAGGGCACAAAGGGAGGGAGGGTAAAGCCACTCAGAACTGCAGACTCACTTGGGATCCAGATGGATGAAGAATGAGGTATCCTACTATAAAAGATACAACAAATGTGGGCTGCACAGAAAGTATGTGACCACAACCCCTCAGTGGACAATTTAAAGATAAAAGGCCTTCACTATATCAGTGTTTTGGAGCTTCAAGTGCTTGCAGCATATCTTATGTCTTTCTCGCTTTGCTCTTATTTAGAGGAGGAACATTCCACCCTTATCATTTACGTGAACAACCAAGGTTGGGATAATATTAGTGTCACAGTTAGTGCAAGGCCACTATTCAAGCTGCTGGATGGAAACGTGGTCTTCTTCTGGTTCAAATGGCTGTCATCCTGGATCACAACAGGGGTTCGTCCAGGGCAAACAAAGATAGTTAATACAGTGACCAGCTGGAACTTCTTTACTCACAGTTTGGGCAAGCATGGATGGTGGCTTTATTCTATCCAGGTATCGAAAAATAATGGTGAGACTGCAAAGTGTCTGACACCTCTTCATTGTACCTGGATTGTGACTACAGATGGGATCTACCAAGAAGAGGACCCTGAAAACCGCTGCAGATTTAGAAGAGACCATGATGAGGCCTGCCTATCTGTCTAGGGCAGTTCACCCTGATTCACTTGCCATGCCTTGTTGTAGTAAATAAACTGATGGAAAAATACAGGAGGCTGCCCAATTAATGACCCGATGCCTAGGGCATTATACACAGGTCTGACCTTCCCTTACCATGTCCCATGCCTTGGCGTCCAAATCACTACCAGTAGTACTCCCCTGGCTCCATTGCTGGGCCACACTTGGCCTCTGGCCCAAACTTGGCCTCAGGCATCCAAAGACTTACCTTGGCCACAGGCACTCTCACCAGGGCCTCAACTTGTATGTGCTTTGCTAGGGCCTCAACTCACACGTGCATTCTGGGCTCAGTGCCTCTCCACAGGCTTATATCACTGTGGACCCTCTTATATCACTGCGGCCCCCATTCCACAGACCCCTTACTGTGGTCACTACTCCACCCCCTTTCTGGGGCTACAGGGCATTTCACCCCATGGGACTCAGGTGCCTGTAGATGTGCCTGGACCCCACTATTGGCCTACAGCCCACTCAGGCCTCAGGCATCTACATACCTGACATACCTGGAGCTCCCTAGGCCTCCCTCTGATTAGGCATTGGGTGTCAGGCCCTCCTGGCCTCCATGTTGTTGCTCAAGCCTCACTCTCAGGTCTTAGGCCCTCCTGGCCTCTGTGTTGTTGCCCAAGCCTGTTGCTTTTCTGTCAAGGTGTGCTCCCTTAGCCTTTCCCCTCCATATGGTCACCCACAGGGCAGTGGAGGCCGAGGATTTATGGCACCTCATTCTCATTGTTCACTAGGGAGGTACTGGTGGGGCATTTCCTGAGGGCTGCCCTGCCACCAGCAGCCCCACCACACCATCCTCCCCAGCAGAGTGTAGTTTTAGGTCATTCCCCAGGACCAATGCAAGCCTACCTGCCCTGGTCTTTCTTTGCCCCTACAGGCTCCTGGGTATTCTCCCTGAACTATGCACTCTGGGACTCTATTGCAGTCTCCCTCTGCTGGCCTAGTCTCAGTCACTGGCTCAATTTACTCTGACCCCCTTATTGGATGCCTCCCATGCAGAGGCTGTATTTCAGCCTCCTTTATAGGAGCCCACATGCTGGCTAACCCCTACTCTCTTTAGGCTGTGATGCCCACCCTTGAGGGGATCTTCAGCATCTTCAAGGCTCTGACCCCACCATCAGGCCAGTTGGGATGCCAGATGACTCTCTGCAGCCCTGGCCTGACCCTTGTGGTGGGCTCAATTGCCCTTCGGCCTTTCAGCCCTGGCCCCTTTACATTGACCAATTGAGGGGGTCAGAAATTCAGCCTGGCAGCTCCCGCCTTCCTACTCCAGAGGGGTCCCCCCTAGGCCCCAACATAAAGCAGGCACCCCAAGCTGGGCTGGCCTAGAGCTCCAGCGATTTTCATGAGGCCCGTTATTCAACAGGGCTTACCTGAGCCCCTGAACTCACCCCTGCCTGTTCTAATTAGGGGCTTGACTAGCCCCTGTGTAGACCCACCATTCTCAGCCCCTTCCCTAGGCTGACCTAGCTTTCCTTAGGCCCAGCCATCTCTTCAGGTCTTGAGACCCCATTGGGTCCCCAGGAACATCTTCCATCCCCACAGCTCCTTCTCTGAACCTCCAGATTGTTATACGAGCAGCAGCTTCAGCTGGGTGATGTTCTTTCTCCAGCTCCTTGCAGCAACTGCTAGCTTTGCCTCTCAGGGCCTACTTTTATGCCGAGTCTCTGCAGCCCAGCTCCAATCAGGTGGCCAGCTGGCTGTCCTATGACTCCCTGATGGGCTCTGCATTCACCTGCAGGCTGCCTGACAGCCTGCTCAGGCCCTTAAAGTGGCAGACACCAAAGGTTCACTGCTCCCCAATTCCCTCTTTAAAATGCACCCCAATGGTGCTCCTCCACACAGACATATCTTAAAAGTTAGAGATGGAAAAGCTGTATTAGGTCTCACCTTGAATTACTTCAGCACAAAAACTATAACGGAAAAATGAATATAGATATTTTACATACAACTGTTTATACCTTTCCAGTTTCCCCTCCTCATGATAGTTACACTTGGAAACAGATATAAAACCTACAAAAACTTACCACCACCACCAAAACCAGAATATGCTATTTATAACATGTCTTTCTGAAAACATGAACAGATACTGGAATACAGAGAGATATGTATGTGTCAAACTGAAACTACTCTATATAGAATTTTTAACTGTGTAGTAGTAACTAAGCTACAGTGCAAACTCCTTATATAACAATAGATAGATAGATAGATAGATAGCCATTCTTTTGGTCACATCTGTTAGAAATATTGTCATTAGTGGCACTTTTTGCCTTTCTGGTATTTCTGACCTGTGTAGGTCACTAATAGAAGTAACATGGAAAGAAGTGTACACCAAAGAACTGAACAGACATTTCTGAATATCCCCAAAAAGCAGTAAGGAGCATTTTTTTTTTTTGCATAGTCATGTTCAGATTAGAACTGCACTTAACTTTAACTGTTTTACTGATAGAACCTTAATTTTGTGGAATATCTGTTAGAAACAAACTGTTGGACCCTATACTAGTAACTTCTGGTTTATTTTAGGTGAAACTTGCCAAAAAGAATAAAAATATTTGGCCAAATTATTTTATGTCCTAGTTTTTCCATTGTGTTCAGTAGCACTGGAATTTTTCACACAGGTAAAATAATATTTTGGGGGACTTAGTACGAAATCTAGAAATTTTTTATAGAATTAATTATTGTATCAGAATATTGCTTTCTATTATGGCTGTTTTATGAGATTTTTCAGAGCCAAGATACTAACCACGTTTTTCAAACTAGACTAACAAACATAATTTATTTTTTTTATATTCTATTTTGTCAATTGCTGTTAAAAATAGCAAAAGTATATAAAAAGATATATCTTGACTTATTTTCTGTTGTTATATAATCAATATCCAATGAACCCTAAGAAAAAGGGTCATAAAATTAATTTTGTACGTGAAAGGTTTGTTTGTCAAAGCCTGAGATCAGCTTAAAATATATTTACATTAGGATACTTGGGGTGGCATTTTATGTCTTTTTTGGTAATCTAAGTGCCCAGTTCTGGTTGTTTATATGGAATTTTTGGTCATCTAAGTTCCAAAAATGTCATGTACACACAGGCAGGAATTCAGTTCCTGGATAGTTAAGCCTCTCCTTGTTGACAATTAAGTGTGTACACAGACTGAGCATAGGAAAGTAGAGTTGCAAGCAATTTCATGAGGTCATCCAGTCTAGCCCCCTGCTCAAGGCAGGATTACCCCGATTAAACACACCCAGTCAAGTATCTGTCTAGCCCACTTTTGAAAGTTTCCTGGGATGGAGAGGCCACAACCTCTCTAGGTAGCTTGTTTCAATGCTTAATGTCAGCCCCCTCACTTCCTAGAAGAGCGCTCCAATTACTATGCCAAAAAACAAACAGCATATATTGACTTTTATAGCACTGCTTTTGACGCTGAGCCACTGCCTTTTGCATTTATTTGCCATTGCAAAACATCCCCCCCCCCCCCCCACCAAAAAAAACACAACAAACAAAAAAAAAAAACCCCCCAACAACAAACCAAAAACAGACAAAGGAATCTTTGGCCCTAATGTGGGCAAGGACCCAGACTAGAACCCAGGCCTTAGCCACAGAGCTCCTGAAGGCAGAAATAAAAAGGTCTTATTCCTTCTAGAATCCCTGTAGCCATACATTTTGGATGACTACATCTTCTGGCCTTAGATGCTACTATACACCCAGAAGAGGCAAGCATACCTGCCAAGTTATGTATGTAACCAGTGTGTAGTCTACTGTGGATTCAAGTGCATAGGCTACACAGCCAAGAGCAGAACTTCTACCTGAGCAGACATGTTGTTTTTGGCACTTAGATGACCACAGATGTCATGACCAGAAAAGAGATAGAAAGCCACCCCTTGGGCATTTCTATATGTGCTATTAATGCACAGTAAAATTAATGTGCATTAAAAAATGAAAGGGTCTACATGTGCCCTGGGTTGGGAGCAAATTTGGTCCTAACTGGAGCAGGTGAGACCCAGGATATTCCTGCCCTGCTCTTCCCCTTTGCAGCAGTCAGGGGGAACTCCAGACTCCCCCAGATGCCAGCCAGGGCTGGCAAGGGGCAGGGGGCTGGGCTGGTGGACTGCTGAGTCCCAGCCACCTGGGGATTGGGTCCAATCCCCAGGTGGCTGGGGAAGGTGTGTCGGTGGGGACATTGTGCCCAGCAGGTGGGGATGCCTCCCCCTACCACTAGACCTAATCACCACCTGGCTGGGGTACAGCAGTCTTGGCTGTTACCTCCCAGCTATGTGAGGATCAAGAAGTCCCAATCCCTATATGGTGGCGAGACAGCTGCCCCCATAGGCAGTACAGCTCTGACTATATGGGGCTTAGCCAGGCAGTAGTGGATCCCCTGCTGCCTGGGATGACCAGGAGCAAATTGCTTCTGACCAACATCTACACATGCCCTACTGCGCAGTAGCAAATGCACAGTTAAACTACTATCTGTATTTTTAGGTAGTAGATAACTGTGCATTAGCATATTTTACTGCACAGTAGCCTAGCACATGGTTACAGAGTGACACTTCACTGCACAGTAGATTAGTCCTTTTATAAAGGAAATGTATAATATTTAAATAGTAGTAGTAGGCAACTGTCAGTCCTCTGGATCATGGTGTACTTCTGGGGCAAGCGGAGGGACTTCTGGTGAGAAAAATCAGGGCCTAGGGGGCTGGATTTCTGGTCACAAAATGGTGACCAGGGGCTGGGGCACTTGTGAAGGGATGGGGCTACCCTTGCGGCCCTCGACAGCTCACCAAAACTCGTTAAGTGGCCCTCCAGCTGAAATAATTGCCCACCCCTTGTTCAATCCAATGTTCAAGTTGCTTTTGTTTATCAGTAATGACATTTCCATTTAAATCTTTCAGCAGACTTGTTTTCTTCTTGACTGGACCAGTTGCTCATTTGATGCCTTCATACGTTCTATGGCCATCACCTGTGTCAGCTGCTTTCTGAATATTATCACAGAGTTTAAGCTAAGAATCTTGGGCACACCTCTTAGCCTTCTTTCTCTTCAAGCCTCTCAGATTTTTCTAGGGTTATGGTGTTGGAAGATGTGTTATTGTTCATTAGCACTGTTCTTTTGTTCTCAACCGTAGAAAGTCAGGTTAAAAAATAGAAATAAAAAAGAAACAAATAAGCAAACATATCAGTATTGAATGGCTGCATGTTATGGAGGTTTACAGCTTCCTCTGAAATGTTCTGACCACTGTCAGACGCAGGATATGGGATGACCATTAGTCTGAACCACTCAGCAATTATTGTGTTCCTGTATTCTTTTATGATTCTGTCTCTAGTGAAAACTATGCTTAGACTAATTAGAAAGAGCTTCCAAAGTCCAGATAATAAGGAAGTTCATTGTTGTTTTTTGAGCTGGATGGAACACAGCAGACATGCACACATGCACTTGGAGCCATTCAAAGGGG